CTAAAATGTAAAAATTCTGTGATTCTTAGATATACGAAACGAATGACACAACTACACGTTGCATCAATTCGGAAGCTATTCTCCCCAACCAGCTATTGTAAACTGAGGTACTTGAGGTAACAAAACTCATTTTACTATCCCAGTGACACATCTAACCTCTTACTCACCAATTAATGGCCCTCTGTCATGAAGGCATGTCAAGATCCTCTCATGGTTGGCTGCTGGAAGCTGAGCCACCCACTTTTATGTTTTAACCAGCAAAGATTTTATGGAGGCCACTCTGTGGCACACCCTAGGAAGGCCAGTTAACCAGCCATATTGAAATTTGAGTAAATGTGTGAAGGCACTCCAGTGAGAGCACCCAGCTGGGTATCTGTACTAGCCTGTAGAGCATTGCCCCCAAGTTCATGTCTACTAAGAACCTCAGAATGCGACCTTATTTGGAAATAGGGTCTTTGTGGATGTAATCAGTTCGGTTAAAATGAGGTCATGCTGGATTACAGTGGACCCTAAATCCTTAAGAGAAGGCTATGTAGAGACACAGAGACAGAAGAAGAAGGCTGTGTAAAGATGGGGACCAAACAAACAAAAAACAAAACAGAGTACCTGGAACCACCAGAAGCTGAAGAGATGAGGAAGGTTTTTTCTGTGGAGTCTTCAGAGATAACTTGTCCCTGCTGACCTCTTGATTTCAGATATCTGGCCTCCAAGACTGTGAGAATAAATTTCTGTTGTTGTAAACCACCTTGTTTGTGGAACTTTGCTACGGAAGCCCTAGGACACACCAGTATAGTATCTTGGATGTTTTTATATCCTTAGCTACTATCACTGTGCCTGGCAAATAGGAGAGGCTCTATACATTTTTGTTCAGCATGTAAATGATTGAATTATATATAGGTTGTGATTAATTTCATGGTCTTAACCTTGTTTTAGTTAAGCTAGCTGCAGCCTTCATACTGAATGCAAAACAGGAAGCAGTGGGAATGCCACTTAAGAATGTAAAACGCTGGGGATAAGCTCCCCTCCTGAACTGCTACTAATTAACGAAGTCAAAGCATGTAGAAGTGAAGAAAGAGAGGGAAGGAATGAAGGAAGGAAGGAAAAGAAGATTGAGAGGGAAAGAATATCGATGCATCAACATTAGAGAGAGTGACAAAGGCTTATGCTTCCTATGTTATTCTTTCTTGGAAATGTAAGATTTCTCCGTGGAGAAGGAAGAAAGTGATCAAAGAGTTTGAAGACTTGAACGTTACAGTGTTAATTCCATGTGCAACTCAAGACCATGTACAACTCAAGATTGTGGCTTGCCCATAATAGGTTCAGAATATTTGTTTTTGTGATTAAATTACATTGGTGAATATTGCATATTTCTGGTGTTCTTTGTGACCCCTCCAGAATGATGATGATGGTGATGATGATGATGTATTTGATTTCAACACCTACTGATTTATAGCAGCAGATGTAGCAATGCGGTGTGGCAAGTCCGTAGAGCCCGTACGTCAGAACAGTGATGGAACTGGAAGCATAAAAGATTAAAATTCATGAAAGACAAGAAAAAGGAGCTTTTTATTTCCATTTTAAGAATCTTGATAAAGCTGATTTTGGTAGATTCGAAGAAACAAAGTAAGCTCTTCCCTGCTCTGAGGTATACCATGCCAAGCTGTCTTAGACCTGGTCATCTAGCTTATTGTCTGAGAATGCCAGAGATTTAGTGCCTGTCTTCAGATCTCCATCACGGTGAGTGGAGAAGTTGAAAAGATGCCTGCAGGGAGACAAGAATCAGTATGCTTTCTTGGGTCTAGGTGTGGGAATGTCGAAACTGTCATCACCTGCTTTCAGCAGCCCTGCTGTGTTGTTTCATGTCAGTGACAAGTATTCTGGAATGCATTTGATTTGTGCAAAGATGTTCCTCAACTTTGTCTACGAGGAATTCATGTTTAACTTTGACCTTTCCTAAAGGGAGCTATTTGTAAGGTGGGATTGGCCTCTGTTACCTCAGGAGGAAAAACACATGTTGGTGACAAGAACATTTCTAAATGAAGAGCATGGAAACTAGGCAAAGCAAATATGGTTACTTTGATTTTTGACATTGCAGCTTCTTTTTTCCTTCAAAATACAGGTACTCCATTTTATGTAAATTAGAAAAAATTGTATAATTTGTCTAAGAATTTTATTTATCATTCAAGTACTGAAAGTTCAATTGTAGGTCCTTCCAAGGAATTCTGTCAAGACAGAGGCAAATCTGTGGTAATGATCTCAGAATTCTCTCGCTGAAAATGTTTCTTGAAGTTTCAGAAAGTACTGCCATCAAAGAAGAACTGCTTTAGGCAGCTTCTGAGAGGGAGCTGTAACTTACTCATTTAATACTGGACATTTTTCAGAAAGCCGTGTCATTCGCTGATTCTTTGTGATCCTTTCTCCCTCCTTCCCCCATTCTCCTCCTCACATGTGGATTTTCAGAAATAAACAATTATCCTTGGAAAACCTACTTTTCCTCTTCTTTTCTTATTGATGTATTAGAAGCTGTGATTTTTTTCACCTGAGTCTCCCTTGAACTATTTGGCATTCAAGGTTCTACTCTCTGAATTTCATTTACCTAAAGGTCCTTTATTCCATTCAGTAAAACTTACAGGTTTACCTTGCTTTGGAAAATTAACTGAGATAACTGTATTTAAAGCATTAATACCATGCACATGATAAGCTATCAAGAAATGGTAAGAGGTATTGTAGTATTATATCCTGGAAGACATAGAGTAATGTAAATTCAGTAGCTTTCTTTAAATAGACTTCCATTTTCATTTTTGTATTACCATGTCTTTTTCTTCTGAAGTTGGATGCAAATCAACTTATACCAAAATTTCAGTTGTTTTGCATACAATCTTCATGCTGTTTCCCATATCCTCATATAACTCTACTATTAATTACTAAATATCTTTAGACTCCTGTTTAACTTAAATGTGCTTTAAAAAGGAGTTATATCTCACTACTTCAAGTGGAAAACCAATATAATTTGCCATAAATTTAGGGTAATTATGAGCAAAAGTGATGTTGTTGAATTCTATCAAAATACAGTTGCCTACCGAGGATCAGAACTTGAGGTCTGCTCTCTCTGTCAGAAAGGGAGAGTTGCAAATACTAGAATGGCGATAATGACGCAATAGAGACTCTCCTGGACTTAAAAGAACTGAAAGAAAATACCTTTTTCATGATATGATTTAGTATTTTCTAGTCTCTTATCAGTGAGCCCTACAAAAATGCTCTCACAGTATACCCTCTCGTTGGAAGAAACTATTACACCAAAATCGGAAAGGTTTTGTTTGTAGACTCCTTTTTTAAAAAGTAAAAGCAAGCCAGTCAATTCCTGTTTTAAGAGTATTCTGAGCTAATGAGGTTATTTAAGATTTTGTTTATAAGACTTTCACTAAAATCAGAATTGGGTCATCACCTCTAATGCTTTAGTTTTGGCAATCTGAGTTTGAAATAAAGGACAAATGACATAAATTAATGGAGTAAAATTAATGTTGTGGTAATATTAAGTAAAGCTAATGTCTCCTGCACCTGGAGGGTGATGCAGATGGCAGGCATGCGTAATTATGCACCCTGCTGCCTTTAAGTGTACAGATAAAAATCTCTCAACTGAGTATAAAATATGTTCATTCACTGGCTGCAGACACATTTGAGTAAGGCAACACAATACATAAGAAACATAGCCTAGCATACTTATTTTTTGAGGTAAACATGCAATTCTGTAAGTTAAATGATTAACTATTTACCTGATTTTTAAAATAAGTCATTATTAGAGTCATGGCCTTTCTGTGAATATTAAAATATGTGTCCGTCCCATTTAGGAAAAGATTTTTCTCAAGCCAGCAAGGGAGTATTTTAAGTTTACTTACTATGCATTAGTTAAGAAGAGAAATTTACTAATAGAATCCTAAATAAGTTGATTTGACTTCTTACTGTAGGTACAAATTAGATTGGCCAGTTATCACTCAGATATTTATCAACTTGTTCAATTCTTTAAGAAGTAGCTGCTCTGTAGCATTGACATATATACACTACCAAATGTAAAATAGCTAGTGGGAAACAGCCGCATAGCACGGGGAGATCAGCTCAGTGCTTTGTGACCACCTAGAGGGGTGGGATAGGAAGGGTGGGAGGGAGAGGCAAGAGGGAGGGGATATGGGGTATTTGTATACATACAGCTGATTCACTTTGTTGTAAAGCAGAAGCTTACATAACATTGTAAAGCAATTACACTCCAATAAAGATGTTAGAATGTTAACGTGAAAAATCCTAAAAAAAAAAAGTTACATGCACCCCAGTGTTCCAAAAAAAAAGGAGCTACTCTAGAAAAGATGTCAGTATAATAATTATGCATATAGATAATATATTTTACTACAGCTATTTCAGAGATGTCACTGAACTTTGTAAAACTTACTATGTATTTTCTTCATTTAAGGGATGTGAATTCTCATAACTTCATTTTGTTGCAGTTGGATACCTATGCAGTTAAAAGTACAACCAGCAACTTCCAGTTTTAGCTTCAGAATGATTTTTAAAATGCTTTTATGATATTTGTTATACACACCCATTATTTTTCTTATAATTAGGTATATATTTATAGCTTACATTTTAAAAATAAAAAGGACAAGTAAAATATTCTTTTTCAGGTACAGTTTTCATCAAAATAGGAGATCTGGTGCCAGGTGTTCATTTTATGATAGAGGATGCTGGCTCACTTTAAAGAAAAAAAAATTAAGGCTAGGAAGCATATGATTTTTTTCATCTTTTACTCTTTAATCTTAGGGTTAATAAATAAAGGAATTATACATTTTAAAATATACATTTATAATTTTTCTTGCCATTTGGATAACTAAAACTATGGGAATTAGGTTCAACCCATTCATCTGCATTTATTTGTAAGTACCTGACTATTAGTTCTTCTATTCAGTAGTTGAGTTTTTTTTTTCTAAAGCTTTTCCTTTCTGTACGTTACAGGTATTCATGTAATGAAGTCATCAATGTCTCAATACCTACTTTGACTGCCTTGAATGAATGTAAGTCAGAGCTGATAAATGTCTTAACACTGAAGGAGCTCTAGATTTCTCTGAAATGCAGTGTAAAGAGCATGGGCCTCTGGGTCTCAAGGCCCTGGGTTCATATCCTGGCTTGGTCCCTGACTGAAAGGCAGCTGATCTCTCTGAGCCTCTGCCTCCTTAACTGTAAAAAAGGAATAATAGCATCTTCCTCACAGCTCTTTTAGTGTCAAAAGAGATGAAGTGTCTGCATGTGGTGGCCCTTGGTAAATGATAGAAATATTGTTAATATTTCTAAAATCAGTGTAACTTCAGGGCTGCAATGATATCTCTAGTGGAATCGTGGGGGTCATCTGGAGCAGAGTGTGCTGTCACTACTGTTAATTTATATCCCAACTGTAAACATAAACTTGGGAAGTGTCCTCTTAGTTTCTCATTCTAGAAACATCCTCATAATTTCTGCTAGAACGGAAAGCAAAATCAAAAATGATTCCAGGAAAACTGAGAATGGCATAGTCTCCTTGGTTGGTGAAGCAAATGTGTCGCTCCTTAATATTTTAAATAAGATATTTTGGGGATGGGAGTTATTTAAACCTAGTGAGAGGTTTTATCATCAATCTGAGCCCCGTTGCTTGCATAAGAAGCCAAGTTTCTCGTTTTGAAAAGTAAATGGGAAGTTGTACAATATCCATCACTCTATAATCTCTCCTCCTCAGTCCTCTATGTTCAGTTAATTAGGATAAATAAATTTTATTTTCATCTTCCTTTTTAGGTACAGTCTCTTTTCAGAAGGGAGGGAATGAAGAAATGAGCTTGGTAGACTAAACAGTCTTCTAGAAGGAAGTTGGTGAGATCAGACTCTGTCAGATCCTCCTTTGTTCCACATTAGGTATTATTTCTCAAGGGATTGATACTAAATAAGTTGGGGAAATGTAAGGTGGAAATTGTATGCACTACTAGTAGTTAAATTTTTGTGTTTTTTCCCCCTAAGGATTTAAGGAAAGGCAATTAGCTTTTAAAGAGGACTTCTCCCAACTGATAATCACATTTGACTATAAAATAAGCTTCAAGTTCTTTGAAGACCTGGCTCTGACAGTTCATACTGTTAAAGATTTAGGTGAGGGTTGAGCGAATGGAAGCTTCTATATGGGATCCTGCAGCACGCTTTTCTTTGGGTGCGGTGAAGGGTGATGTTTTTCTGTACTGGAGAGCAGATGACTAGTACATGTAAGCCTAATTTCTAGGTTTGGACATTGGGTAAAGTAAACTTATAAAGCATTCTCAATCCCCACTTGTTAATAAAATAGTTTATGGGTATTTATAACATAAATCATACGTTTCAATTACCTGAATATTGGAAGCCAGTGAAGAGTCAAGAATCACCTTAAACCTTTATAAAGCATTGAGATCCCAAAGAATATATGTGTCTGTAACCACCTGTGCAGAAGTGATCATTTGCAGGTAGATGAGCTCCTGTGAAAGCTGGGATGGGAAGTCCTAAAGTGTGAAAAGCTTTGGTAAGTTTTCCTTTATGACCATGGATCATATATTTTTTTTTTGATACTTGCTTTGGTGTTCCTACTTAGAAAACTTATCTGTTTTTCAACTTTCAAGTGAAAACAAGAAACAGTTATTAAAATACCTTAACTTTCTATATGGGGATTCTGAATACAAGAGAGAATAGAAATTTAGTTACTAAAGAATTTGAATGGGACTGTGGAAAATGTTCCCTACTTGAAGGAGAAAAAATGGGATTAGAGCCATAAATTCCTTTACTAAGGCCAGATACTTAGTTTTGCCAAATATATTTCTTAATGGAGATAATATCTTCCATCTAGGTTTTTTAAAGTTGAGATACGTAATGGATATGAAAGTTTTTAAAGTTTCAAATCATAGATCATTGTTATTGTATATTAGCTAAACCACACATTTATGGATTTTTTTGACTAAAAGTTCTCAAATTGACCAATACTGTCTAAATATATATTCTGTCATTTTCCTGTTACATAATTCTAGAAATGAAATATCCCTACTCCTCCTACAATGCTTTATTAATGAATGACATATATACCACTCTTTTCCAAAAGTGTGAGGTGGTGTATGTTTTTTAGATTTTGTGTTACGTAATTTTTTAAAAATATTAACGATAAATCCATTAAAGAACAAACCCAACGCTCATTCCCAAGCATGATCTTTCCACCCTTTTTATTATTACTGTGTCTTGGACATACCCATTTTATAGCAGATAGTTGTACCGTGTTGCTTTATTTTGTGTACCTTATGGGCTCTGTTATTCTACTGAAAATAATGTTAGCTCAGGAGTTTTGCTCAACAGTGTGGAGAGGGGTGAGGGAGAGAAAGAAGGAAGGGAGGAAGAAGGAAAAAAAGTTAGTTTAGAGAAAGGGAGAAGATCATTAGCCCCAAGCCTATTCTGATAAGATTTCTACTATTGGATGTGAAAGTTGAATATAGACTTCTTCAGAGTCAATGGAAAACAAAAGGGCAGGGTTAATTATAATTATACTTCAGAGACAAAAAGCGGAATTTACAAAATCTCACATATTGCATATAAATACTGAGACCTTCGTAAGTGTTCAGTAACTGTGAATAAATGAATGATAGAATCATTTTGGGATAGACTTGGACAGATCAAGGTAAAAGAAACCAAAAATAATGCCAGTGGGGCCTATGCTAGTTTGCATTTTCTGTAACTTTTGTCTCTTCCTTCTTTTCAAAGTTCCTTCTTTTCAAACTTTAACTTTGAGAAGAGGAGACTAAGAGAATGGTGGTAAGTCATGGATATTTTTCACTTTCTGAGGAGGTAGGAAAAGTGTACAAGGTCTCAAGGGGTTGAAGGGCGAAGGCAGCTGCTGTTTGTTTCTGCGGACATCCCCGAAACTTAGGGCCAGTGGATGGTTTCCATGGGAACGCTTGGTATCTAGGTAGATGCTGGCAGAATGGTTTTAACCTTTCTGGAATGTAATTGAAGAAAGGTTACTTCTTCTTACTCAGTTGAAGTTACTCCCCAAGATAGTCTTTATTATAAAAAAGAAAATATGTATCTTATTTAATCAAACCCACTTTCCACAACATATCAAATTGAGTGCAGCGTCTACTGGACAAACAATAAATCTTCATAAATATTAGTACTAAGGCCTTGTTTATCTCCTTGACTTCTACCTTAGGTAATACTAATGATAATGAGAATAGTCCATTCCAATGGTACCACTTGATATCATGGAAAGAAAAGAATATTTCCTCCGCCCTTTAGTCTGGAGTCCTCTGAGAAGCATCATTACAGGTGGCATGATGGAGAAGTGAAGTAAAGCTCTAATCTAGATATTTCAGTTTCTCTAGTGTAGATTTGGCTTGAAGTATAATCACAATCAAGTATTAACAGAAAACTGAACATACAGAACTTTGGATTTTATTTTTGATAAATAAGAGTTGATAACCAGAGAACTTCTTGGTCCAGGAAATATTTTTTCACCTGTATTCTGCAGGAACTCTTTAGAAAGTGAATGTTTCCTAGAAACAGATGATTGATTAGAGGCTCAGTGACTGTAGGGACATCCTCTGTAGGATCTTCCCTAAGCTTCCCTTCTCCCTTCACCAAACAACCCTCTCCCTTTAGTGAAAGTGTTTGTGTCCCATTGGAGCAGTTCCCTTGCAATACCATCATTGTTTCTATCCTGGTGATTCTTTTCACTGTTGTTTACCACTGTAGAAAGATGATTTGTTGCCTCTCTTAGAGAAATAGATAAGAGCTAAATTCCTAGAAATGAAATGGTGTGTGGTCTTTGCCTTGGATTGGAAAAGTGGGAAGGGGCAGTGATGGCAAGCATTTCCTCAAGAAGCGTCATAATCTTAAAGACTCTGCTTAGTAAGAACTCATTGCTAAGGTCAGCTGAGAGCGAAAGGGCAATCTGACTGCAACCGTCAGGGGAAGACCCCACTTCCAGCCCGTTGTTTACTGCAAAGACTGAAGGACCACAGCTCATTCTCAGAATTGCTGTAACATTTTATCTAGAAGAAGTGCTTGCAACACCTTCTTCACAAATGAAGAAAACGAAGTTTGGTGGAGTTAAGTGATTGGACAGTTTCATAAAGCCTCATTGTCTTCACCGAAACCCATAGTGAAATGTGCCATCCCAGGTGACTCAGCCTTCTCTGTCCTTAGCGTGTTTGTCAACTGCTCAATCTCTCTTACTTTCTCGTGTGCCCTCTCCAAATTCCCAGTACATATTACATGGAAGACTTGAAATCGAAAGCTGATTTTCATTAACAACGTGATCAGTGGGTGAACTATAATTTATACGTAACCCAAACATAAATGGGCTGTATTCAAAGAAGCACAGACTGGCAACCAAAATATATAACTGAAAGGAGTCTAAGTATTTATTTCATTTATGAAACCTTAGGTTTTTTTTTGCGGTACACAGGGCTCTCACTGTTGTGGCCTCTCCCGTTGCGGAGCACAGGCTCCGGACGCGCAGGCTTAGCGGCCATGGCTCACGGGCCCAGCCACTCCGCAGCATGTGGGATCTTCCCGGACTGGGGCACGAACCCGTGTCCCCTGCATCGGCAGGCGGACTCTCAACCACTGCGCCACCAGGGAAGCCTGAAACCTTAGTTTTGACGCTCATTAAACCTTCTTAAAAATCTTTTGATTGATCTTTCTCTTATCCTAATCTTTTACTCTCACAGAAGGGATTAAAAATTACATCCCCTGCCCTGCTCATTTCCCAAGTCCTTTCCTCGTCTTCAGGCTGGAATGGCCCCTTGTGCCTGACAGGCACAGCAGGTTGACCAACAGGACTGCTGGCTAACCCAGAAACTCCATATACGCCTTGACTGTCATGGAGGGAAGCACAGAGTAGCCCATAGGAAATAGATTTAATCTTTAACTCTGACCACTTTTTTTGGCAAAATCATCCCATTACCTGGTTTCAACATGTACATAAATGATAGCAAGCAAAAAAAAAAAGAAAAAAGGAAAAAAAGAAATCTGTCATCTGTCTGCTTGGGAGAATGTGTAGGGAAGGCGAGGTGGGCATATGTGATATAGAGTGATGCACAAACATGTAACAGGACTGTATCTGGAACTGTGAAAATATGCGTTTTCCATGCATTGCATAGCTCTCACTCCACCCCCTCTGCTCCCCACCTATCTTTTTCTCTTTCTGTCTCCTAAAAAAAGCCTTTCTTCCCTCCCCAGCCACAGTATAATACAGGCACACTCTCAAAGTAGCTGCTGGCCAAAATATTGGAGGAAAAAGTTTAGGTTCTTAATGCACAGTGTTTTCATTCTCCAAAACTATATCAAATATGGCTGGTGAGGGAGAAGGAATGAGGAATAAAAGGAATGAAAGGGCTTAAAGTGGGAGGAGGACAAAGAATCATCCAGTGTAAGGACCCAGAAGCTGAGGGGAAGGGCACTCAGTGCCCTGTTAACCTTGAGTGATGACCCCCAGTTGACAGTTGCTTGAATCCACCAGCAGTGCCTTGACTGTGTCCCCTTCCCCACACCTCGCCTGTGGACAACCCACTATCTGACAAAAGTAGACACTCCAAGTCATCCAACTGAAGGAGGGGGCGTTGGATGACTTGGGTAGGTTTGATGACATGGAGGAAACATCTCACTCCCTGGTTAGGGGAGTGCATTTCATTGTCAGTTAACAAAGTCTATAGTAGTGAGGGCAGCAGGGACCATGGCACTTCTGTTTCCCACATGCAAACATTTAAGTCCCCATACAGAGGATGTCTCTAACTGCTGAATGGCTAGTGTTTCAAAAATTTTGTGGGAGGGGAATAGTTGGAGATGAAGAGGATAGTGGTTGAGAATAGAACTTGGAACATGTTTAACCACTTCTCTAGCCTGTGGTTAGCCTGGACACAGACTGGTTTATTAAGGGGAAAAACTTCCCTTACTTGAACTGCAAAGGCAGTTGAGCAGTGCTCTCCTCCCCAGGTCAGTGCTATGTGATCACTGTCAGGGCTCTAGCCCTGTTTTTCAGGGTGTGTGCTGAGCAGAGACAGGGAGGGAAAGAGTGTATTCTCATTCTGCAGTCAGCAGGTCAGAGTGGTTATTTTGCCTCCCAGCTTGACCTTGACTCAAAGCACCACTTCATGTTTCCTCACTCTTTTACTGAGACCTTTTATTCTTTGTCCGTGGTCTAGATTGTCTACTGATGTTGTATTCTGTTAAAATTTTAAATAATTGACATAGAAAAACTAGTGTTTGGGATGTGCTGAGTACTGGCGTTCTAGGAAAACTGGACTTCACTAGAGAAGGAGGATGAGTCAAACACTTTTGTGGAGATTTCGAAGAAAACCATTGGGTGTGTTCAAGAACTCTAGAAGTGAAAAGAACTGGTTCTTTGTGAGTTCTGATTTTACTTTCAAATGTAAGGCTCCTATTTTCTTTGATCCATTTGTGTCACTAACATTACTCTTTTGGACTGGTTGTTCAGTCGTGCCACTCTGCCTAAACATGTCTTAGGCTTCCCACTGTGTAGAAAAAATAAGTCCATACGTTGCTTAGTATTTGAGTCATCTAGCACTTGGCCCCAAATTTTCCTGTCTAATTCACCAGTTCTGTTCTGAAGAAGCTCTAGTCCTGTCATTCTGTTTATAATTTTCCAAACCTGGTTGGTACATATTGGCCTCCATGATTCTATTTACACTTAAC